CCTTTTATACGCAGGCAAATACAGAACATGAGATTTTGCAAAGATGAAAATGTTTTTAGGAGCACATGAAGGCCAATGAATGATTGGCTCTAACCCTAAAGGGATATATAAAGTGTTCATGAAAATGGATAGTTTGTTTCTGCTTTTCCATTGGCGAATTTACCAGGGTACTAAGATGAAGTTTTAAAAATGCTGTGGCATGAAGAAACACTGCAGTACAGGAGCAAACAAAGCTAGATAGATTGTGCTGGTCTGGTAACTTGCAACCCATCAAATGCCAGACATGTAGAGAATCTATGGACTTTCGAGACCTCAATTCTGTATCTAGGTTGTGTTGCATTTCAGGTCCTGCTTCTAAATGGAAAAGAAAAACAACATCACCACCACCAACGTAGATTTCCTTCACACAGTAAATCAACCTACTGCTGTCTTGTTTTCTCTGCAGCCAGACTGAAATAATACAGCACCAGCAGAGGTGTGAATTACCCCCATTCATCTTAATGGAGTGTTAACTTCAAAGACTTGTTTTAACCATTTAAATGCTAAGCTTGTGAGCAAACATTCTAAAAAAAAAAAAAAAGTACAATTTAAACATTTACTCTCAACATATGAAAGTAATTTATACTCAATGCTTCGTCTTTTAATTTCACAAACGTCTCCAAATGTTAAGAAAGTATACATTTTGTGCTTTAGTTTTATTTTAAATAGTTATTACCTAATAAATTATGAACATTAAACCTGTAACGAGAAAGCCCATATTTCATTTCTCAGGAAAAATGCTGAGAAGTACTGATCAAGATTTTTGGTAATCCCGGGGAAGGGGGCACTGCTCTTATCAGCCATCTGGTTTAGGGTTTAGGGTTACAGTTTAAGGGTTAGGGTTAGGATTAGGGTTTAGGCTTAGGAAAATGCTGAGAAGTACTGATCAAGATTTTTGGTAATCCCGGGGAAGGGGGCACTGCTCTTACCAGCCATCTGGTTTAGGGTTTAGGGTTACAGTTTAAGGGTTAGGGTTAGGATTAGGGTTTAGGCTTAGTGTTTAGGGGTTAGAGTATTTTATTAGTGTCCTCCAAGCTCACAGAGAAAGTTATTGATTCCAAGTAGGCAAACAGATACGGTGAAACATTAAAGTAAAATTAAAATGAACACCTCCACAAATAATATTTCTTGATATTTACTAAGTTTTGTACAGAGTGTTTGATAGGTTACTTGTCCCTTTGCCGTACCTCCCGTGATCTTTTCACATGAGCAGGCGACAAATGTATTAATTGATGCCCAGCTGTCATCACACTTGACATTTGCCCCAGGGGGCATCCTTACATCTGTTGCAGATTTAGGGTTATTTTGGTATTACTGGAGTTAGGTTTATTTAAGCAGCTGAACACTTATTTATATTTGGATCCATAATTTCATAAACAGAAAAAGAGGGTACCAGTGTTAGGCTATCAGACTGATGGGCTCTGGCTGACCTGAAGCCACAAAGGAGGCCATGCCTGGCTGTGCCCCTGGGACCATGCTAAAGTGCCTAGTTTCAGGAAGGCATTAGTAGGAGCACACGGCTGGTGTAATACTGTGGGAAAGCACTAAAAACAGTGCACTGGGAGCCAGTTCCTCTGTGAGTGAAGGTGAGAGAAAGATTAGGAAGATAATTGTTGTGCAAGATGGAAGATGAAGAAATTCAAGATATGTTTCCATGTCCTTGATTGAAAGCAAATTCATTTTACTGGTCCAGATAAGGAATCACAGAAAGGGGATAAACATCTAATTTATTAAGAGAGCCTGTTTTGGTCTGCACCTAATTTACACAAGGTCATTTAATCCTCTCAACACATGATGTATAATATGTATTAACTCCATTTTACAGATCTGAAAGTGGAGGCTTAGATAAGTCAAGTAGTGTGCCTTTCACTGAGATTTGAATCCAAGTCTTTCTAACCCAAAAGCTTGGCCTTTTCCCATTACACTGTGCTGTTCTCGAGTTGCCAAAGAAGTACCTCTTTGATCTTTCCAAAGGAGAAGCTCAGTTGTCAATCTCTCAGCCTGTTTCCTAAGTGAGAAGCAAGGGGGAACCTGCAAAAGTGTGCATTCCCATATATGCAAGTTGGCTCTTTGCATGCAATTCCCTACTTTACATGTGCACTGGGGTAGGATTACATTTTTATTGATACTCCCTGGCTTTGGTAGGCTGCTAACAAATGTGCCCTTTACATGGAATACTCATGGGAAGAGAGCCGTGGCTTCTGATTTCCAACCAGAAATAAGCCATGTCAATGGGAAGATTGCAATGATTTACAACCTGCAAACAAAATGTGATATAAAAGATCAATGTTTTTCTCTGTTTCTCAAGTAGAATGTTACATGTTTTAGTGACAAACTGAGGAATTTCAGAGAACTTTCGAATCCACAGCCAGTCATCACATTTCTATCTCAGAAGAAAATCACCAAGTTTTTGGATAGGATTTGGAGACAGGGCAAAATACCAAGTGGAATAATCTCACAGTTTTGTTATTAGCAATTGATGCGGACAACATTAATTCACAAGCTAAGATTCAACCTTGTATATAAATTTAATACATTGATTCCTTTAAAAACTAATAAACAAAAGATTGACCCAATATATTTAAGAACATTTTTAAATACACTTAACAACTTCTGTTCTGTGAAAGACACTGTTATGGGAATGAAAGGCAAGCCACAGACTGGGAGAAAATCTGTGCAAAACACATATCTCATAAAGGACAGGCAATTAAAATATACAAAGAATGCTTAAAACTCAACAATGAGAAAACCCAATTTTGAGATGGACAAAAGAGTTGAACAGATACATCACCAAAGAAAATATACAGATGGAAAGTAAGCATATGAAAAGATGCTGAACATCATATGCCAATAGGGAACTGCAAACACACCTATTAGAATGGTGAAAATCTAAAATACTGAGAACATCAAATGCTGACAAGCATTTGGGACAACAGGAACTCTGATTCATTGGTGGTGGGAATGCAAAATGGTACAGCCACTTTGGAAGGTAGTTTGGCAGTTTCTTAAAAAACTAAATATACTCTTCTCATACAATGCAGCAGTTGTGCTTCTTGTTATTTCCCCAAATAAGTTGAAAACTTATATCCACATAAAAATCTGCACATGAATATTTACAGCAGTTTTATTTGCAATTGCTAAAACTTGGAAGTCCCGAAAGGTCTTTCAACAGGTGAATGGATTAACAAACTGGAACATCCATACAATGGAATATTATTCAGTGCTAAAAGGACAGGAGCTAACAAGACACAAAGACATGACAGAAACTTATTGTATGTTGCTAGATGAAAGAAGCCAGTCTGAAAAGGACACACATGATCCCAACCACATGACCTTCTGGAAAAGGCAAATATAGAGACAGTAAAAAAATGAGTGGTAGTCAAGAATGAACCCTAAGGTAAACTATGAACTTTAGTTAATAATAATGTATTAATGTTGGCTCATCGAGTGTAACAAATGTACCACACCAATGCAGGATGTTAATAACAGGGGAAACTGGGTATGTTGGGGACGAGGGGGTAGATAGTACTCTCTGCACTTTCTGTTCAAGATTTCTGTAAACATAAAACTACCTAAAAAATAAAGTCTGTTAATCAAAAACCAAAAACACCCAAACAAACAAAATATTGACCCAATGTATGTAAGAGGATTTTGGGTTTCTTTCTTTGATTAAAACTGCTATACACTTCTACTGCAATTTCATTCTGCTTTCCTGATAATGATTTTTACAAAAATGTTATTTTCATCCAAGGTACCTCCCAGAATTATTCCTTCTTTCATACAGAGGTAAATTATCCTTCATAAGAAGTAGAAAAATATTTCATTTATTAATCCAGTCAAAAATGATGAGTGCTAAACTAAAATTCCCAACAAAAATTCCAAAGATGAGCAACACAAAAGCCTGTGGAAACAAGAAAAAAAGATTAAAAAAACAATTAGAGTGTTTCTTAAACCTCCACCCTTCCAAACAATGTATTTTATATTTTAATATATATTGATTTTTTCAACACAAGATAAAATAATATAAAATGACAAATTACTTCTTAAAACAGAAGTCTTAAAAGAAATAAACGAAAACAACCTACTCCAAGCTTTCTCCATGAGAGTAAATCCTCTGTGCTAAGTTTAAGATAAAATAGTCCTGGGAATACAAAAATCAAACATGTTGATGTACTGGCACCTTTGGAGGAAAAAAAGGATACTGTCAGATTCAGATATGAGGCCAGGTAACAACTTTATCCATTTTATTATGGGAGTTTTTTGAAATAGAAAACTTACCAACTACACCAAATACATTTCTAATATCAGGAACATATATTGCAAGTAAAACAATGATAATATTGAGTGCTAGGGTGATCAAAGAATGGTGAATCCATGAGAATGGAAAATTGGAGAAAAACATCATCATTAAAGCTTTTCTGGCCTGCGTAACAGAAAAGGAAATAGATTTAAGCAAAGAGGAAGTGTCAAAGGCAAAATATTTGCTTAGAGAAACATATGTACAGTAACCATGTTATTTTTGCCCCCAAACCATTTAGATTCCAAAAATACAGCATAAAGTATTATTATAAAGTGTTCATACACATAAACTGTTTATACACAAAAACTTTTCCGTGTGAGCTTCATAAAAATTATTTTGCTTTAATTTTGGAAAAAGTTTTCACACGCAATTTTTTTAGGTTACATAATTTTAAAAATTACCAACAATAAATTTCAAAGAATTATTTTCATTAAATTCAATAGACAGGAAAACAAACAATTTAAAAGAAACAAAAAACATCATGCCATGGGGAAGAAACACCATTTACTATTTTATTTTATGTAAAAATAGCTCAGAGTACTTCCCATTGCTAAGGCAGGTAGCAGGTGGTCACATCCCCACAAAGGTTTAACCAGCCTCTGCTGCAATCTTGGCACTGCAGCCTGCACAGGGAGGTTAAAAATCTTGAAGGTCCAGTTCTTGAAAAACTCACTGTTAGAGATTCAAGATATCCATGCAGAAGCATTTATACCCAAAGTCTTTGTTTTTATTTGCTCAGAAATTCTTAAGATCCTTATGTATAGCAACTAGATGTAGAATGAACTCACTGTTAGAGATTCAAGATATCCATGCAGAAGCATTTATACCCAAAGTCTTTGTTTTATTTGCTCAGAAATTCTTAAGATCCTTATGTATAGCAACTAGATGTAGAATAAAAATCTGTTCTGCCCCTAAAATTATAATTCTAGAGCAAATAAAGTATTTTGACTAAGATTAAACTAGAAAGACTATGTGAAAGTAAATTTACAATAAACCAGGAGGAGTTTATTTTTGCTGACTTGACTTTTTCCTCTTTATGCACATTCTTTTGAAAACAGAATACAGAATTAAAGGGGGAAAAAAACCAACACTTGAGAAGAACTATAGTTTCTAAATTGGAAACAATGCTGTGGGAGACAGTAAATCTAAACTAAGTCTCAAAAAGCACAAATTAGCTTAGTGGTTCACTGTTATTTTTGTGCTTTCTTGAGGACATATGCAAGTACGAGGTCTTTGATCAATTACTTGACAAATGAGTAAGATATACAAGACTAGATGTGATTCAAACATTCTAGTCTGCAAAGAATTAGTGCTGCCATATTAGGGAGCCGCTACATTAAGCAACAAAACCTTTAAGAGTACTTACAGGGAAGTGGATTAGAGGGACTGTCAAAAGCACAGCAAATAGTATGCATAACTTCACAGTCATAACAACAACATCATGTGGCAAGTATTTACTATAACCTTGGAGTAATTCTGTCTCCACTTTGTCTGTAAATAAAAAAATAGTAATAAGGATCACATTATAAAACTACTAAGATGTCGATAATAGCAAAATTATTTTCCTTTGCACTAATGGATCTTAAGAGATTTTGGATTCTCATTACCAAATTCACCCGCAAGAAACTCATCGTTTCTTATTCTATGAAACAAAGAGACATTGTGAAATATATTCTTGAAACCTATATCCTTTTCTTTTAACGAAATTAGAAATCAGGACAGGCAGAACCTCTAAATTATGACAATGAATGCATATATAAAAATCTCTTTAGAACTTTTCCTTAATCTGAGGGTTTTGAACATTTACGTTGTTTGTAAAGTGCTTTCACCCGCATTGTTGAATTTAGTACCTATGATAACAATATGAGATAGGCAGGTAAGCTCAAAAATATTAAATGACTTGCCTAAGTTTACACAACACGAATGGGCAGAGCTGGCAGAGTGATTCACACAATATTTTATGATGCCAAAGCCAATACCTCTTCCTCAATATCATAATGTTTTCTACAGTTTCAAAGCATTTCATGCATGTTACCTGCTTCATCAACATTTCATCTGTGGATTCATCTCATAAAAAAGCGAGTAAAGTGTTAGGAAAATGGCTTACTTGGTAAGCCAGTGTGGTAGTCAGTGACAGGATTTATACAGGTCAGATTTATGCTGACGAGGCTTTGCTCCAGTTTTCTCCCATTCTCTGGGTTGGGGTGAATGTCTCCTTCACCCCAACCCAGATGAGGGGAATGAAGAGTGAGTGTGCTCAAAAACACTGTGTTAACAGGGTCTTGTGGGGAAAGATCAGTGTGTACTTAGAACAGAATGGTATTTTCAAATTTGAGAGTATATGTTTTAGAATGGATGCTTTGGGGGAAAGAAAAAACAAATCAAGTGTACCTCTGTTTTTAAGGACCTTAAAATTAAAAGGGGAGATAAGATGAATACACATAATAGTAAGTGTATACACAAATAAGTGGCAGAAGAAGGTCTAAACAAAGAGCTATGGAGATTCTAAACTGCGAGCACACAGCAATGATCAAATCCCACGATTTACTAGCAACTTAACTTCTGAGTCTCTCTGTTCCTACATCTTTAAAATGGGGACAATACGTTGACCTATCGAGTTACTGAGAGCATTAAAAGAGCCAATGTATGTATGCTCACATTCAAGATGTAGGGGAAGAGATTCTCTAGAAGCAATAAGCAGCACAAGTAGAAGCCTTGGAGTAGCAAAGGGAATGTGCATCTGAGAAAATGAGTAGTCCGGTAGGTACTACAGTGGCTGAAATATAGTGTGCTGTAGAGCAGAGAGCAGTGGGACGACAGGGCTGGAAATGCATTTACCTAGCAATACAGCTTTGCACAGGGTTTGGACTCAATCTGGTAGGCTGTAGACATGCTGTAATGACTTATGAAGAATAGTGTATTATGATCTGAACTAAGCAGGAGTACAGAATGGAAGAAAAAGAGATGCAAAATAGGGATAACAGTTAGAAGGCTACTGTCCTAATCACTGAGAGGTAATGAGAGTCTGAACTAGACTAGTGATAATGGAAATGGGAAAGAAATGAATTGTCTGAAATATCAAAGACATACTTTATACACAGTGGGACTAATGGACTATGTTTTAGAAGGCTACTGTCCTAATCACTGAGAGGTAATGAGAGTCTGAACTAGACTAGTGATAATAGAAATGGGAAAGAAATGAATTGTCTGAAATATCAAAGACATACTTTATACACAGTGGGACTAATGGACTATGTAGGAGACAAAGAAGAGCCAGGAAATCTGGATTCTATTTCCAAATCTGTGAGATACTTGTGAATCTTTGGAGAAATATGGCAAACCATTTTGTTTCCATTTTCTGAATCATAAAATGAGCTATTAACACTTCTTGCTTAACAACCTTGCAGACTTTTAAAATGGTCTGGTTATTATGTGACATTTGGGCATTGGCCTGGCTCATCAGAGGAACACTTTTCTCTTCCTTATCATATAATGCTTTAATATCTGTAATCAGAGCCAATCTAATTAATCAAGGTACATACTTATAGGTCCCTTTAATCTGACAAAATTTAGATATTAACTAAGCTTTGGCAACTCTGGATAAAAGGATTCCAAGTAGCTTTAGAAGCCTGGGGAACTAGATTTATTACAAATTTGAAATATATGTCACATGTCCAGGATAAAAATCTTTCTTCTGAGCCAGTCATTCTGTGTTCTCAGCTGAGCCTTAACATATGTAAAGGATAGAGTACAACATGCTTCTCTGATTCAGACAAATCTCTACAAATCTCAGAAAGGATCTTATGGTGATCTCTGCAAGTTATCTATGGCGTTGAACTCAGGAGGCTGCCATGTTTAATCCACACTGTCAAATAGGGTATAAAGTTTACAAAGATTATCACAAAGAACACTGGATTAGTATTCAGGAAACCTGCCTCTAATTCTGTGACAGGTCATGTCCCCTCTCTGGGCTTCAATTGCTCATCCATAAAATGAATTGAAAGCCTTAACTCAAGGCCAGCCCTTAAGATCTCAGGCCCAATTACCAATTTCTTTCCATAAGATAGAGAGTTCCTGTAATCCTTACAGAAAGATACCATAAAAGGTTTCTCTTGGTTATGATTAACAGCTCAAAAAAGACCACTGTGAAGAGCAAATCAATATCTGCATCTTCTGTCGTTGGTCAAGAAATTACTTTTCTATGATTCTATCTATCCATCTATGTACCAATCATTTACCTACCTGCCATGTGAGTTTTCTTAGATGTGTATTACTCCATTATATAAAATTTGGATATGCTGAAGATTCTGCATTAGCAGAGAAGGGATTAAATTAGAGACAACATAACAGCTTTTCTTGATAATCAGGCAAATATCCCTATTCCAGGAAACATTTTTTACATGATGAAAACCTTTAGCCTTTATAGACAAGCAACAGTGATAAGACAGACACATACATGCACACACACATGTGTGCCTGGAGCCCAAGCGAGTCAAATTTTTCCAAAAGTTCACTTTAACAAAAACTTGAAATGAAGGAAACCTGGGTTCTATAGCAGAATTTCTGAGGAGCAGCACAATAACAAAGACACTAGCCTTGAAGAGAGGCAAAACTAGATTGAAATCCCGACTCCATTATTCATTAGCTGCAGGTATCTGGCTTAAGTACTTAACCCAAACAAACCTATACAACCTTGTGGAGTTGTTATAAGAATTAAATTAGGCAATGTAGGTAAAATATCTGACACTTACTTAAATGTTAGCTCAATGAATGTATTAGCATCCATCCCTCCTCCACATCCCTTTCAATCTAAGCTTTGTTACAATTTAATATAGCTCCTAAGCATCTAATGGCAATTCATGTAACTATTTCTCAGCCATCCTGGACACTGGTAGGCCCTTTGAGGTTTCCTCCAGATAGTTTTATTTACCCATAAGGAGGAAAAGGAGGTCAGTTTTTCTGGACTTTTTTTCAATGTCAGAGATCTCTAAATAGGATTTGAGCCAGGTGACAATTTTAATTAAAAAAATACAGCTATTCTGGTATGCTAAATCTTTTTGAATCCTAAGACACCATGCTATCGTATCTTATTGACAAAGTTTTGAGTTCAAGTCTGTATACAAACTAACAAACCCAACAAGCAAAAAAAGAGCGTATATATTTGAAGAATTTTATCAGCTATGATCAAAAAAGCTTGCCAGTATGTTTTAACTTTCTTTTCAGTGTATCCAGCAGGGCACCATGCTCACATTGGAAATAAAATGTTGCTTTTCTGATAGTGTACACAGAACTCTACCACTCTCATTCTACATCAATATAAAAATGCAAGAGCATATTTCTATTAATGGATGGCCTTTATTACTGTTGATAACAGAAATAGCAAGAAAAGAAGAACCATACAAGCAATTATATTTTTTCCCACATTGAAAATGCCAAGATAATACATTATACACTGAAAACCTACCACATTTAAATTTTATTACAGACAATGAGAAGAAAAGTAAAGTGCTGAAAGATAGAGCATCTGAAATTATGAAACATTACAATAATAATGATAATAATAATAGTAACACACCACTAGCAGTAGCTTTCATTCGTGGAGGACTATTATCCGCCAGATACTATAAGAGGCATTTTACATATAACTCATTTCCTCCTTAGTACAACCCTGTGTAGTTGTCGCCATGGTACAGATTAGGAGATGAAGATACTGCAAGGTGAAGTATGAAGTGTCCTGTTTGAGGTCATATAGCTAGTTAGAGTAGAGGAGTTATTTGAATCAGATTTGCTGGATTCCAAAACTCATACTTTTTTCCTCCTGGCTTACGAAAGGTAGCTGTACAAGTAAACATTGTCCAAAAACTTGTCAGACTCGGAAAAACTCTGGGAGATAAGGAAAGTGTCATTACCAGTCATCAAAGATGTCTAAAATTTGAAACATGAGCATGAGGCTATCAACCATAAAATCAAGAGGCATAATAGCTAAGCATCACCATGGGAGATAAGGAAAGTGTCATTACCAGTCATCAAAGATGTCTAAAATTTGAAACATGAGCACGAGGCTATCAACCATAAAATCAAGAGGCATAATAGCTAAGCATCACCGAAGTAATAACAGCCATTTATTTGGAGAGTTGTTATAAAAGGATTCATAAACTGAAGAATGTATTCAGAATTTGACAAATTGAATGGAACTTGTATTATAATTAGACAAAGCAAATTAAACAATCATGTTTGCAAATTAAACAATAGAGCTTAAATTTTTTTTTCTTGTTCTACACTTTTAAGTTTTACTTTTTCTTGAGGTTCTTATCAGAAGACGAAAATAAACCAACATATCAAGCATGCAATTTTTCCAAAATAAATAAAAGAGAATTTTACTTTTATTTTTTGAATTAAAAAAAAAATCTTTTAAAAAAATTAAGGAGAAAGGTCATGGTGTGCCATAGAATGCACATGTACTGAATCCGGTGGTAAGTCTGAAGGCAGAGATGTCTGACATCTAAGTGTACAACTTTAGTCCAGTGTAAAACCCTCTTCTTTCTCTACTTGTTCTTTTGCAATTAAGGAGACTCTCTCCCAACACGGCCCCCCAGAATGTCTGGACTAGAGTCTAATGTATCAAATTTGCAATTTAACACAGGTATTGATATTCAGCTCTGTACCCCACAAATATGTACAATCAACTGTTTCAATTAAAAAAAAAATTGCAATTAAAAACAAAATCATGATTGTGCATTTTTTTCTTGTAGAAAGACATCAATGTCCTTAAGCCTGAAGCTTTACTTAGGAGTTTAAGAAAATTTTCATATGAATTCATTGCATTTGATCCACCTTTCTATGAGAAAGAGAATCAATTTAGGATCCTAGCACCACCACACTACTGCATTGTGATCTGGGGGCCTGAACAAGGTAATTTACTAATGAAGGGCAGAAATAAAGTCTATACTAAGGTGTGAGATCATCTCATAACAATATATTTGGTCATGCATAATTAAAGAATATACTCACCATAAAAAGTGAGGTACCCAAAGAGTGCAGATATAAAATAAATGAGAAAACTTAAAGCAATTGCTGTATTGGTGACATTTTGCATTCTTTTCTTTGAAGGGCTAAAAGACAAAAATGGCAAAAGTAGAATCAATGACCTGAATTACATCTAAAGAAACAAGTATCTCCCAAGCTAGTGAAGAGGATTCTTCAATCATTAAAGACCTAGTTCATCAATAACTATACACTAGAGTTCCTAATCTGAAATTAGCACAGAATGATTACACCTCCAGGATACATTCCCAACTTGATAGAATTAATACTCAAAAAAGACACAATGCATTCAAAATATGCCAGTATTCTATAGTACCTTTGAAGTTCACAGTATATGGGCAATATTGACGTATGGCAGAGAAATGAAAAAGCCATGGTTGGTATAGCATAAGCACTCTGAAAAAAAAATTTAAAAAGACAAAATTATTAAAGGCTACTCTATTGAAATCACTATTTCATTTGACAACATACTTAGTTCTTAAAAAAACCGATTTGGTTTAACTTATTTCATCTTTCATGAATCACCTCCTTCTAAAATAAGACTTTTAAAAAGAGAGATAGACCTACGGTCACCAGCAAATATTTTACATGATAGTTGGCTTGCCTGTACCAGCCAGAATATTTCTTGGCTGGCTTCCCATACCATGTTGCTTTTACTACAATTGCTTTTTCTTCTACATTATTTGGGTAAGATAAAAAAAAATTTAGGTAAGATAAATAATATCTTGGTAAAATGAAAATAACATTTTGAAATGTTCTTACTGTAATTCTCAGTCTTTCCTAATTATGCACCATTAAAATACATCTTATTACCCAAGCAGCAATAATAGTTAACGCTTTTGAACCTTTTCACCAACCCAATCCAAGGGAATACTGAAAATACTAATCACATCTTAGTACTGCCAGCATCTTTGATGAGGATCTCTTTCAATAGGAATGAACATCATTTATTCTAGACCTACAAACTCTTAGAGATCCAATGGAATACACGAGCATGAGTTTTGTTTTGTTTAGTTTTTATTATTAGAACTTTAAACAAGAGCCAGAGGAAGTTACAAAACAAAAAAAGTTACCATCTAAATGAAAATATTGCCTTTACCAAATACAGTACCGAATGGTGGTGATTTGTTTTCTCTTTTCTGCTCTAAAAAAATTTTCCCTCAACTAACTTTAGGCTCTTCAGTGAAAGAAGTTCCAGATGATGAAGACCTACCTTGGGACATAATGCCTAGACTCCTAAAGTATCTGAGGGGGACTAGGAGGAAGGAAACTGTAGTGTTTAGAGGCAGGATTAGGGGAACGAGAGTTTAATTCACAAATTCTCTCCTTCATATATTATTCAATTTCCTGGCTTGTCAATGTTCCCACTTAGATCTTTAAGACCCATGGAGATCTTTACTATGTAAAAGATGTGATAACCTCACTTGTGTGACCAGAGAGACATTTCTCAATTAAAAACTCGGGATAAAAAGAAAAATTCTGCATGGAGGAGTAACCACGCTAATGTTCTACACTAATAGAGTTGTACATGAGTGGAGGGGATTCTAGTAGCTGGGATGTGTAAAATAGTATTTCAGCAGAATCAGAAAGTGTAGATGAAGCAACTTGCAGCAACAGGAAAAACTCTGAGCTATTCTAGAGTTGTAAAGCACAGACTATCTAGATCACAGTTCCTGTCACCTCTGCTGATGCTCAGGGGCTTTTGCAGGCATTGTCAGTATCCTATGGCTCTTAAGAGTAAGCAAGGGGAGTTGGTCTTCTAGTCTCTGCTCCAGGCATCATAAATTTCAACTTCAGAATGTTGGCCAGATCATATATTTGCAGTCCAATCACTAGTCCAATGATGAGGCTGTTTAGCTACAAACCAAGGTTCTACTCACAGGGGAGGAGTTTTTGACATAATTGGCTATTTAGCTTTACAAGTCCAGAGGGCAACAGGAAGTCTGTATCCACAGAGGACCTTATTGGCCAGACCAGACATTCGGTAAATCTGTTCTTTTAAGCAAAGGCCCATTTAAAACAGGCTCCATTTAAAGGCATGCCAAAAAAAAAAAAAGGTGGCTGCTTCATAATGGGCCACCCTGTGTTAAATAATATTATTCTTCTAGTAGGCAATCCTATACTTAGCACTTTCATGAAAATTAATTAGTTACAGGTACAAAGACCTAAGAGACCATGTTACACAAATCTCTTAAAACTTGAAATGTGAAAAATAACCAAAAGTATCTGTTAATAACTTACACACCTCTTTGGAGAAATGAAAGACCTTTGGTTTACAATCATCTGTAGCATTTGAAATCTGTTTAAGGGTATTGAGGGTAAAAAAGAGAAACCAACAGCTATTAAAAGTCAGAATACATCAACGAAAATAGTGAATTTATTATTACTAGGCTTTCAAATCAAAATACTTTAAAACAAAGTTCCAAAAATGCAAGCTAGCCATTACTTTCTCATTAATTAGGAAAAATAATAATTAGTTTGCTTTTCCCCCCTTCTAAATTTAAAATAAAATATAAGCTATTACCTGGAAGTATTTCTGTATGTAATTTAATGTCAGAGGACAAGGGATGGACCATTTTTTAATTATTATCTGTAAAAAAAAAAAAAGTAAAATCAGCACTCAGATTATTTCTTATAAAATTCATAAAAAATTGATTTCAAATAGGTCAGCATTATTTCAATTAATCTAACATCATACAAATAAGATGCTAACAGAAGATTCTTTGTTTATATGACTTTCCCGCTTAGAATGGGGTCATCATTTAACATGGTCACCTAGGATGGAAGGGGGTGGGAGGGTGCTACACATCTGTTTAGTAGGGATCTTCCCAATTAAAGACTGAGGTACTCCCGTGTCAACTTTCAAAATTCCAATAGCATCAAGGCATTTTTTAAGAAGTGCAACTCAAAAAGGGAACACGATGTTTTCAGTGACAATGCACAAAGATATGGTTATTTGTGGACATGGTATCGGTAGCATATAGGGAAATATTAATCACAGTTTGGGGAAAAGCCACAGGCAGAAATAAGTAAAGACCTCATGCAAAGGGGGGAGCTTGGGGATTTCTGATGTATTAAGTGCTGCCCCTCCTTACTTTTTCAGATTTGTATTATTTTTGGCAAATATGAAGAAAGTTGGCTAAAAAAAGAGCACATAGCTAGGGAACTCTAGCTGGTAAAAATAAATTTTAAAAAAATTAAAAGAAATCCAGAGGGATGCTGTTTCCCAGAAATAATCAATGAAAATGTTCCAGGATTTTACTCTTAATTGTGGCCATCCTGTTCCTAGACCTACAGTTGTGGTTGTGTCAACATTACCATTGTTGCTGTTGTTTCAGGACCCATAATGACTCCATAAATGTTTGCTCCAGGCTGAATCCCAGCATACAATAGGGTAAGGGAGAATAAAGGAAGTACTTGTCCTTTGCAGGAGACCAATAAGGAAACACTCTTCCTATTTGGTATTTATCCAGCTTTGGATTTTAACTACTTCAATCAAATTGTTACACAGTGATAAAAATAATCTAAGGAAAACATACACTTTTAGAACTAATTTAATGAGTGAACTAAAGAATAACTCTTAATTATAAACCTTACCAAGAAAATAAAAAAAGAGTTATAAAGACTAACTGGGCAAGTTCTTTTACATTTCTAAGTAAGTTTTCAATAAGAAATAAAACTAAATGATCAACTTTTCAAGAGAAAAGAACAATAATCAAAAGCAATAATCAAAAGCAATAATCTCACCATCTTTTTTTCTGATAGGTTTTCAAGAAAAGGATGAGGATGGGGTGATGGAGAAGCTAGAGAAGCAAGGCTGTTATCAGTCTCTCCCCTCAGTCCTGCTGTGACCGATCCAAATTCTCACATTCCTCCCTTCTAACAGTGGTGGTGTTGGCAGAACAGCCATTTACTGAGCACTTGCTGTGTACCAGGTACCTTGATAAGCTCTATATGTGAACTACTTCATTTATTTTATCAGCTGTTATTCCTGAGCTTTTAAATCAAAATATTTCAAAACAATGTTCCAAAATGCAATATAAGCCTTACCTTTTCATTAGAAAAAGACTCCAGCAGCCTGATTTTATATCAATATAAAATCAGTTACTACAGCCAATTTCTCTGCAAAGATCCATCCCAACCCCAAGCCTGCATGATGAAATGGGTTGGATAGAGAGGATACCCCATAAAGCAGAAGTACAGAAGAGGAACGGAAAGAGACCCAATAACAAAGAGGAAAGATTAACAGGGAGTCCTTGCTCAGACTGAAGACAGAACATGGTAAGAAGATAACTTCAGGGTTAGAAAGGGAAAAAGGAGATTAAGTATTAAAAGCACTTGTTCGCTAGCACAAAAAGCCCTTCCTCCTTCTTTCTGCGCTAAATCCTTCCCATCTTTCAAGGCTCAGCTCAAGTTTTATTTCCTTCCAAATCCTCCTTTACTGTAGCTCTAAGTGATCCATCTCTCCTCTCAACTCTTGTGACTCTTATTCTGAAGCAAATAAATCAATACTTAATGTTGTATTACCTATTAGATTTACAAATATATATATTGACAAAAATAATCAATGAAAAAATTGGCATCCTTCAAAAAAAATCTGGGTTAGTATGTTATGTTTCCTTTTCCCAACCACTATGTATTTCAAAACCTAACAGAGAATCTAAAATAAACAGGCCAATTAAAAAAGAGCATTAAAAGAAAGTGTACAAAATGTTCTTCATTGTCCTATTGTAGACCAAATTTAAACTGCACTCACAAGTAAAAATCTTAGCAGATGGTTTGTAAAGCATTACAATAAATGCAGAATAAGGGTATTATTTCCATATGACTGCTACAGTAGAAATCTGCACTGAATTAAACAGTATCTGCCATGACGGAAATGAAAACTACAGTACATGTATCCTATCAATACATTTCACCTGCTTCAAGCTATTGATTGTGAAAACTACATTACGACTACCTATGCAACACTTGGATGGCCAACGATCTGTGAGGGAAAAATTCAGCATGTTATCTACACTGATTATGTTTAATATCCATACATTCATTAGCATATATAGACCACTTCTAACCATGAAGCTACTTCTCAACAACCAAATTATGATGAAAATACTTACTGTTTCTCTCTTCAATAAGAAGCCTAAAAAGTGTGTGTTCAATTTACCTATTTGTAAGATAGCAGTCAGACAATTGAGGGGGTAGAGGGAGGAATGATTTTAATGTTTATAAATTCAACGAATGAATAAACGCAAGCACTGTTAAGTATTTTTAGTTTTAAGAGCATTCATGAAAGTATAAATACCAGTCAGACAATTGAGGGGGTAGAGGGAGGAATGATTTTAATGTTTATAAATTCAACGAATGATTAAACGCAAGCACTGTTAAGTATTTTTAGTTTTAAGAGCATTCATGAAAGTATAAATACCAACACTGAAATCAGGGTCACTTCCAGTTAATTAAATATTTTAAAGTTGTTTTATCCATTTGTCTAGAAGATAGTTTAGCCTAAGTTAAAAGTACCCTAGATTGTTTTGACAACTTTGAAATCTAGCTCTGTAACATGGCTTAAATACTGATGTGCTGTCTTGCTCTTGTGTATGGCTTTTTTTTTTTTTTCATTCATTTCTCAATACAAGGGAGAGTTTAACCAAGTTTATCAAGGCCATCTGGATATGTATATTTTGGGGAAGTTAAAAATGTTTAATCCTATTTAATTTTTGACATTTAGATACTGACAATGGAACCAAGTGCCATGCAAAGAAAAAATGACTTTAAAAAATTTTTCCACAAAGATACTATCTTTAGGATGTTAAGATCTGTTTTAGAAGAAAATAAACTCAAATTCTCTTTTAACTTTATATTAAATTACCTTGTAAATATCAAAATAAGTTAAATTTACTGTAATATATATTTTCTGTTACAAAAAATGAGCCAACTTAAAAATAAGAAAATATATATTCCACATGTGGAGAAAAATATTTATTTGCAGTAGTGCAAATAAGTTATGAGATCTATGCTGAATAAATCAGATCAGACAGGAGAATTCAGGCATCCCAATTCTTATCAGATCTCCTTAATCGTTAAGTCTCAGAAGTTCTGGTTTCATTAATGGAATGAAGTTTCAAAATTAAGATGACTAGTGTCAAGTTGATTTTACATATTACAACCAGTCTGATTCTTCACAATATTGTAAATTGAAATAAATCGATACACCTACACAAAGACTTATACTCCATCTAGGGTTTTAACAGAATTGGTGTACTCTCCTCTCTAGTTAACCATAGAGACAATGAATTTGAAATGCTGCTCTAGCTAAGCCTCTTCAAAATAGATACAATGATGTTGATAACACCAAGGTCAAGGATTAGGATACCCAAACCAGCCAGCGGCAGAAAAAAAAAAGAATGCAAAATAGATACGATGAAGGAAATAATTGGGTGGAGCAAAAGTGCTTTTAATAACAGTGAAATAAAATAGGATAACCTTCTCAACACAAAATAGAGTTAAAAGAAAAAAGACATTAATATAATGAGTCCAATTTTAGTGAGGAGATAATCAATGCATTATATTTTAAACTTACCACAAGAGCAAAGAACACCATAAAGAAAAATGATAAACTACTTGTGTAGCCAAGAAAGCCTGTAAAATAACAGTAAAATAAAAAGCAATTTATAAGGAAAGTGATCCTAACATGGAACTAAAGCTATACATCTTGGGCATGTTTTCTATTACAGTGCTTGGTATCTGGGGCTTAGGGCTCAGAATAACAACATTCCAACTATCTGTCACAGATCATTTATGTAGCTCTGTACAGCAGAATTGGAACTGGCTTACCACTAATGGTACACTGTAAGGAAAGGCTGCTCTTTAATGTTCCGCTGTAAAGATTTTATTTTAGTAGAGCAGACAAAATACTACTGCAAACCAAGTAATAGGTTAACTAGGCAGGGCTGAAGGCTGAACAACCTAAAATACAGCCAAGTTTAAAGTTATTCACAACCACCACCCTTCTGCAAAAAATGTGGTGCTGTGAAATTTAAAAGCCCCTTAATATTTCTTCCTCTCTTTCTTTTTCCCAAACAAATCATGTACTCTTGTATAAAGACTTACCAATTTTCGGAAGAAGTGCAAGAGGGAACACAATGCCAACACAAATGATTATTAGTAGCGTCTGTCCATCGAGATACCAAGACCTATTAGGAAAAAAGTTCTATTTTAGGCACAAGGCTCAAGTGTTTGTTCTTATACACACACATACACACATATACACACATGCACACACACATTACAACCATTACAACCACCCGTTAGGAAAAGTCCACTTCCTTTTGTTAAAATGTTTTTGTGGGAGCCTATTCTTATTAATGAATTTACATTTAGGAAATGTAGCGAAACAATGAGATGCCATTTTTCAACCACCAAATTAATATATATTTAAAAATAAGGTAATAGTCAATGTTGATGAGGAGTGATGAGGTATGCAAAAAACTGGTGAAAGTATAAATTATGTAAATTATCTTTTTGGAAAGCAATTTTGCAATAGATACTGACAGCCTTCAAATAATTATACCTTTAAACACTTATAAAAGACTATTAAAAATAAGGAAACAATCAGCACTAAGAACAAATATTTTTTAAAGATGTTTATTGAAAACATTTAAAATAATGAAAACTGGAAATGAACATCTAAGACCATAACAATTTTGAAATAACAATATAATAAATATTCAATAAACTTTGTGTGTATATATCATAATAATTTTGAGGAAAAACACAGATGCATTAAAAATAGAAAGTAACTATGGTATATTGGTAGCCATTATCTCTGGTGGTAGAATGATGGGTAATTTTTCTTCTTTGTAGTTTTTATATTTTTCCAAATTTTCAGGAAAGGGCATGAATTACCAGGTAAAAAGAGTAGTAAATTTTTCATATAAAGGCAGAATACTAAATGAAAAAAGGTAGGTTAACAGTATGACTCTGTATTTGTTCATTAAAAAAACAAAACAAAACTGAATGCACATTTAAAAATAGTCAGAAGGCAGTATGATAACACCAAAGTCAAGGGTTAGGCCAGCCGCCAAAAAAAAAAAAAAAAGTCAGAAGGATATACTTAAAATACCAAAAGTGGATATTTCTCTGTCGTAACAACATGAGCTGTTTTTATTTTCTTCTTGTTTGCATATACATGGTTTCAATTATTCAATATGAAATACATATATAGAAATTTTAAAAAGTTAATTTCCCCAGGACCTTATTGGATTTGTATGTAAAGGACAAACAATTCATGAAAGAAATACAACTAGTAAATGCACACGAAGAAAAATTCAATCACTGCTAATTAAAGAAATAACAAGACTGTTGCAATTAAACTAGTAAAATTATTATTATTATTATTTTTTTTTACCTTTTTGTCTTTTTTTGTGACCGGCAATGGATTGTAACCCTCAGTGTCGCGCCCGTACCGGACCGGGACCGGCAACGGGATCGCAACCCTCGGTGTTGCTCCCGCACCTCGCTCAGCCAGTGAGCAGCCGGTCTGTATGTGGGATCCGAACCCTCGCCGGGAGCGCCGCCGCGCTCCCAAGCGGCACACTGTAGCAGTGCGCCACCAGGCCGGCCCAAACTAGTAAAATTATTAAAAAATAATATTCAATGATGTAGCGTAATTGGCCCTTCACATAGTTTTAGTGATCTTGTCAATTAGTACTATCTTCCAGAAAAACGATGATAATATGTAGCAAGAGCAATAAAAATGTAGTGGCAATCTACTATAAGAAAATAATCTAAAATAGAAAAATTTCTATATGTATTAAGATGTTGAATGTAAGTTTATTATAATATTAAGAAGCTGGGAGGAAAAGTATATACACAGCATTAAAAAATATTTAGGTCAATAACGGCATACTCAATGGAATGTTATGCAGCTTTTAAAAAAAGACTAATGATGGAAAATGCTTATGATATAAACACAAAAAAATATGATTATTAACTATATTTTCAAAAGCTGTTTGGGAAAAATAAAAGAACGGTGATTAAGTTAGAGATGGTATTATGTATGATTTTTCTTTCTTTTCTAAATCTTCAGTAATGTAGCTGTTACATTTTTACACTGAAGCACATATATACACACACACATATACAGGTATACATACATACATACACATATATACACACACATGCACAACAGTAACAGAGTAAAATTCATGCTAAAAATGGGAGTTGGAAGCATCAAAGATAATAGATATTACTGTTTCAAATCATCTGGTAGAGGATCTCAGGATTCCCACTTTGTGATAATGCATCCTCTTTCACTCTCTACCAGGTAGCCAAAGTCTCCAGACGCCATGTTACATAGGAAAGTGTTTTCCTTTACAAAGGTTTCAACCCCTGGCTTCTAACATGGACTTTATGGCTCATTATATGTCTTTTACACACTGGTTTATGAGAAGTCCTCTCCAATGTGCTCTTTAATTGTTACTATTGGGTACTGACAACTTCCTCTTTAACAGAACAAGAGAAACAGAAACAGCACCATGATCACACTTTTCCTTTCTCTACTCTAATTTGTGTTCTTAGGAAATGCATGTGCCAGCGACAAAAACCTATGTACAGGTATTTCTATCTCTGATGGACCTGAAGCTGTGCTCCCTGCATTTGCATATGCCCCTCAAATGTTGGTGTGCAGGAAGTACTAAGAGTATGCATATTAAAAGTACAAAACGATACTCAACATGTCTATCTTCTAGTCATTCTTGAATAAGAATCAAAATAGGAACTTCAAAATATCCCTCATTGAGGAACACCTGGCAACTAAATTTCTGAAGCTGGCAAAAAGCCCAGGGCTCTATGTCTGAAATGGCTTTCCTTCTGGGACTCAATATCAGACTCAGACAGTTGCAGTGCCAGGAGGAAAAAGACCCAAAAGAGCACCAAAGCAGATTCCATCTGTTAGTTCTGCTGTCCCTGCTAGATGTATTGTATACTTAAAAATCTGTTAAGAGGGCAGATCTCCTGTTAAGTGTTCTTACCACAACAAAATAAAATAAAACATTATTATAAATCAATCTGACTCTAAAAGAAAAAAAAAAGTCATGAAGGTAGAGCTGTATCCCCAAGACCAGGACTCTTTTCTCTTACATAAGAATAAAGGAACACATTTTGAAATCCCGAACAACAGTCACTTTATACTATTTCAGTTCACAATTCATTTATGTCCATAAAAGTCACATGACTGACCAAAGCACTGAACTGTGTGGGTCTGAAGATAACTTTACCTTCTCCCAGGAGTAACAGAATCACAGAGTTATGGAATATCAGAGGTGGAAGAGACCTTAGAGATTATCTGATTCAACAGCTTCACTTTATATGTCTGTAAAATCAGTAAAAAGATGATGATGACCTTAATGATGGTAGCATTAGAAATAATCTCTACTCTTCAATAGTTATTGTACATTTATGGTATTTTTCAGATACTGCCTCCTTTATTTCAAGCTCATGCTTTATACTCCTCTTTCACAGGATTAAGCTTTAAATTCTTATTATTGTAAAATATAATTTCTCTAGCCCTGGCTTGGCTACTAGTTATTATTATTGATTTCTTATTCTTATTAACTTATGTTAATAAAGCCAATTTTAAATACTGTACTTGTCTTTACCATTTATTAACAATAAAGGCAACACAGTAATGCACAGTAAAGTTAGCTTAGATTTCATGTGCATGTAACAGCCAAATGAATTGTGCTTGGCAATGGATATTTTCCAAAGAATAGAAATGGTTAAAATGGTACAAAATAAAACCTCAGCCTGAGAAATACAAAGCAGTAAAAAGAAATCTCAAGAAGTATATATTAAATAAATTTATTTTATAAATCAAGATTTTAGAAGAATGCACTAACCTTTAATTTTTTCCTAAGAGGAAAAAGAATTATCTAACAGGACTCCTGTTTTCCTACTGTGATCTAAATACACATTCTCTTTAAGCCAAAAGAATTAGAGTAAAAAGTTTTATACTTCCTAGAAAACTTGTTTGATCTGTGGATTTAATCCTATATGATAAAAATGTTCCAAGTATGAAATATAGAGTATAAATCCTTAGCTGTATTGCAAATGCTTTGGCATGCACATGTTTTTTTCCATATTTTAATGAAAACCAGATTTATTTAGTAGTTGCTTTAATTTCATTCTCGAATGGAATGGAACAAGAGTAGCATATGTTCTGAATTAGGATCTTACTCACATCCCATATCAATTATGTAACTCAAATGCAAGACAACTTAATTGTGTCAATCATATTCCCCTGACAAGATCATTAAATGTTAACAGAGAGCTTCCAACTTTTAACAGCCATAGATTTAAAATATATAAGTTATTGTATAAAAAATATAGATGTATCATAAAAGCTCAGTATAAGTATTATAGCATCTGACTTCTAATAATAATTTTTGAAATTAGAGTATTATGAACACAAAATTTATTTTTGATAATATATTTATAAAGGCTTATATTTCATGAAAGTACATCAAACTCACAGATAACCCAAAAAATAAGCACACCTAAATGATCTTAATTGAAATTTATTGTAAATCAAACCCTAAAATACACACATATCAATATCATATTGATCTCATAGAAGAAATACTGCTATGTAACTCTATCTAAACTGCCCTATATAGTAAAGTCAGTTACCATACATTTGTTTCTCAATGATTTTATAGCATTAAACTTTAAAGACTAATGATTTATCTGCATTCTAACTAATTAATATAATTAGTCACTTATTAATGTTTTTCAAAACTTTAAAATCCAAAATAAGTGAATATATACTATATTTGAAATAAGATTGTTAAAAAGATGTACAATTTTAAAACATCATAACAGAGATGATGGAAACCAGCCACAGTATTTTTCAGTATACAGCTAAAAAACCTCATTTCTGGGGCCGGCCCAGTGGCGCACTGCTACAGTGCGCTGCTTGGGAGTGCGGCGGCGCTCCCGCTGAGGGTTCGGATCCCACGTACAGACCGGTTCCCGCTCACTGGCTGAGCGAGGTGCGGGCACAACACTGAGGGTTGCGATCCCGTTGCCGGTCCCTGTCCGGTACGGGCGCGACACTGAGGGTTGCAATCCGTTGCCGGTCACAAAAAAAAGACAAAAAGGAAAAAAAATAAATAAATAAAAAATAAAAATAAAAAACCTCATTTCTGACAAGTAAAAATGACACTTTACTCAATTTTCTACTAATACGAGTGATGGGAGTTAATTTTATTTTTTGTTTTAAAAATAAACTGGGGTGGAGGGGGGGGGGAGCCCAACAATGTAAATGGCAATTGCTTTAAAATACAACTGTGGTAAAATTATAACTTTTAGGGAAAGAAGACCTAAGTTTCAATACCAATTTTGCTACATACTACTTTAATTATTTCTAAACATTTACATTTATTTATATCCCTCTTCTTTCCACAAAGACATATAACAATAAAAAAAATAATAAACAGAAGTCACCAAATTCAGGACCAAGAAAAAGGAAAATAAATGACAATGATTGGGATTAACATAGTTTATGTGATATATTCAAATTTGACTCTGAGCTTCCTGGCAGTCAGAGCAAAAAGGGAAACACACCTTTAACACAGTTATTATTATTGAAATTTCTTAATCCTCCATATTTACATTGCGCTATCACCTTACAAAAGAATGTATATGTATAGTATCTCATTTGATCATACAATAACTTTGTTAAAAAGGCAATATTGGTACACCCCAATTATACCAGATAAAGAAATCTAAAGCTCAAAGTTAAGTTACATGGCCAAAAGAAGTTAAATTAAATTCCTGAGATTACTAAATATGAAATGGTCAGAACACACATCTCCTTACCGTTAGTCTAGTATTCTTTATTCTACCTCATATTGCCTTGAGTTCTTAGACCTAACTTATAAATTTCTCACATAGAATTTGAGTAATTAAGTTAAATTAAATTCCTGAGATTACTAAATATGAAATGGTCAGAACACACATCTCCTTACCTTTAGTCTAGTATTCTTTATTCTACCTCATATTGCCTTGAGTTCTTAGACCTAACTTATAAATTTCTCACATAGAATTTGAGTAATTGAAGTTGTCTTCAATATTTTTACACCAAATACAAAAGTGAAGTTCACATAGCTACTTCTAATAGCAATCATTTATCAAACTAAGAGCATAAAACCAAACGTAACTAGATAAAGCTAGAGATAAAAACAAGGTAGTTGTGATCATCAGATGTGACAATGAATGTGGAAACCTTGTAAACTGTAAAGTACTATACAAAGGTATACTATCTTCTGATGATGAAAAATCATTAAGGACTTCTACCTACCTTTTTTCAACCACATTTTCTTGATAGTTCCTATTCAGATCTAAAGTATACCATACTTTCCCTTACAAATATGTATTTGTAACCACCCATGTAGAATTCTTTAACAGAGGCCCAGTTGTCAAAGATAAAAACTAAATTTCAAAAACCTGCCCTGCATTCCAGAACAAGTTCAATTATTGGAGCAAAACAACTAAATACTCAAATCTAAAAGTCTGATAGGTTTTGTGTTGTGCTTTCTTAACTATGTGAAATAACTTGATGACAATTAAAATGATTTATTTTGTCTTTTTCAAGTTCATTTTCAAAAATTTCTTGCTCTACATAGTGAGAGTGAGAGGAAAAGCACAATTAATTGTTTTTTTCCCCCATAAAAACAGATGAGTCAATAGTTTTTAGGACCCAGTATTTTTTAAATAAAGAAGAAAGGAGGCATGATGCGGTTTAGTATTGTTTATAATTTTGTTAAAAAATAGGAAATGAAACAATGAAGTCCTTGCAAAATACTTATTTTTATCATGCTTTACAATAGGAATCTCACACAGGTATGGTTGTAATTGCCACTTCTTTACCACTATGATTTGCTGAGAAGTTACAGTTCTCAGTACTGAGAAGTGAGCAGTATTATTCACTTCTCTCCTTTGTTTAAAACCTTTACTGTCAGTATTTTTAGCCTTCCCTCATTCCCCACCTCAATCTTTCATATCCCCAGAAATTTCTCCTTTACTATTCTCCAAGAGCTATCTCAGACCTGTCTTATCCTATCTCACACCCCCAAAGAATGCAAGGATTATATCTGGTGCTTCAGATGGTTCAGAGCACAGTGCTTCATATATAATGGCTAATCAGTAAACAGCTGCTGAGTGTTTTATTCTCTATCATCACTCAACTCCTGCCTAATATGTGTCTTGAAGGCAAGAACAACATTTGTTTACTTCCACTAGAGTACTATTTATTGAGTTAATACATGAATGAACACAATGTGAAATTTTTTTCTTACCCACTGTAATCTCCAGTCAAAAATTCTGAAATAGTGGCAGGAAGCTCTGTTTTAATAATTAAAAGATAAGACGACATAGCTGCAAAAAGAATAAAGAGTTCCTATTAGAATTCTATAATTTGTAACCATTTAAAGAATAATCTATCCAGAAACACAGATGTCCATAAGAAAGATTAACTCATAATGCACAATCCCACGGATGTGTGTGTGTGTGTGTGTGTGTGTGTGTGTGTGTGTATACCAGGAATAAAGACAAGTAACTTCACAGAGAAAATAACTGGTAAATCCATTAAGTAGTTTTTGTTTACATTTCAAGTCCAAGCAAACTATTTACATAAGAAAAAGTCTTGATTAGAAGTCATTTATAAACAAAATTTTGTTTGAAGTTTTGCAAAAACTCCTTTATATATTATTGCCCCAGTCCAATGCGTTAGAGGTTAGTTTAGCAACCATTAACATAGAAACAGAAGTTTAATAAGTATTAATAATGTTGATTATCTGTTCTTTCGTACTAGAGAGAGATGCTCCCCCACCCCCAAAGCCTTGTCCCCTCTCCCTCCTTTTCTCTTCCTCTCTCTGCTACCCACCCCTCCTCACACTATGAACACATAATTATGAGACAAAAACAGAATGAATGCATAAACAGATTAGAAAAAGATTCAATATAAACCATTAAGCATATTAAAGAGATAAAACTTCCAACTTTTATTCCATTTCATTAGCAGGGCTTGTCTGTACTATGCAATCACAACCTGAAGCTAGCATTATTTCTCACATTTTATCTGACAGGATCTAAGAAATAACTAGCTTTTACACCACTTTAAAATTTACAGCAGTTGGGCCGGCCCGGTGGCGCACTGGATAGTGCGCCGCTTGGGAAACGCAGCGGCGCTCCCGCCCGAGGGTTCGGATCCCACATACAGACCGGTTCCCGCTCACTGGCTGGGCGAGGCGCGGGAGCAACGCCGAGGGTTGCGATCCCGTTGCCGGTCCCCGGTCCGGTACGGGGGCAACACTGAGGGTTGCGATCCATTGCCGGACACGGAAAAAGAAAAAAAAAAAAAACAAACAAACAAACAAATAAAATTTACAGCAGTTTCCTATTTCTGATGTAGCTATAAAAAAACAAATTCTATAAACCTCCATCATATATTAGGAAAAGTTTTAATGTGGTTAAAGAAAAAAGAACTCAGTGATATGTAAAACGAGTTTAAGCTTAAATGCTTAAATATATATAGAAACCCAGATGATTTGGAGCCAGAGCTTCAGTTTAACAGAGTAAGAATCTATCTTTCTCCCAGAGTTTAAGCATAAAAGGAGGGGTTTGGGGAGATGGGGGAAGCTAGAAAATGTCTGTGAAGAAGAAAGAGTGTACTCTCTGTGCACATTAATTTTATTACTTATTTATATCTCAGAAAGCATTTCATTTTCTCTTTGGACCTGCAACTAAGAACAAAAATGAATGCCAAATCTGAATGGCAAAAATCTGGGGAGAATTTGATGAAAAGGCTCAAATACTTTAAGAAGAATGTGTATTTCTCAATCAACACATTTGAAAGTAGTTGAACTTCTCCATGATCACAATGATGTGTGATCACTTAACTCTGGAGAAAAAAAGGATACACACTGGTTTTTGTGTAAATTTACATAAAGATAGACAATACTACACACACATAAACATACACATACATTCAATTTTTCTAGTAAAATAACATGTATCTATGGCAAAGTAAAATTTAGAACAGTAAAATAATCACTTCTCTGTTACAAAAGTATACATATATATATATATAAAAAGAAAAAAACAAAAACAAAAAAAGTATACATACACATATTTTTCATCTTATGACTACTACTTTTTCCACAGCAGAAGTATGGCTGTTGACTAAAACCCACTGAGACATTTCTGCAAACTCTTTTAGTTATGGGGTATTACAATTGATTATATGTGAAAATGTGTTCTATATTGCTAATATTCTCATAAGGAATAATGCTATCAGTCTGGCACAGAACAGAAGGAAGGTTTAGATTAACCTCCTTCACTCAAGGATTTGGAGTCCCTATAATATTTTATCTATTCCAAAGAACTATACACATATGGTGCGATGATGAAAATCATGTATTGAATTTTCTGAAAATGGTCCAGAACTACTTAAATATATCTTGAATGAGAGAGAGAAAAAAAAGGACAAAAGTACCTTGAAAACAAGGAATGCAGACTTCCTACACAATGTAATTTATTATCTGCCTGTCAGTCTTTCTTGCTTGGATTAATCCAAGACTACATGCATTTCTAAAGTTTCAGACATTCATCTCTTTCAGTAATTTTCTATTATTTCTTTCGGATCTTTAGTTGTAAAAGCTTCAGTGAATATGAGATCATATTTCTTTCTAATATACAATCTGTCATTCTTTTCAGAATTTCTATTAGCTTCTGGCTAATCATTTAATCACTTTTATCCTCTATTGTAGCCTTACCTCTTTGGTTTTCAAGTGGGAGTCCTATTTCATTAGATTCCAGTCTGAAGAATCATGTATATTTTAAGAATTATGAACTCACCAAACATATGTTTCTCTCTCAAAAAAAATCTCAGCATACAAGGTACAAATATAATAAAACATGCTAAATACTGCTTCTTACTTAGAGAATGCTGTTTTAAGAGCTACAAAAACCACAGAGCTCACTATGAGGAAAAACCTCACCGATTAAGCAAGTAAAACAAAGCAAGACGCTAGCCTATTCACTGTCAAAATTATTTTTATTTCTGGACTGGCCGGTTAGCTCAGTTGGTTAGAGTGTGGTGTTGATAACACCAAGGTCCAGGGTTGGATCCCTGTTATTGGCCAGCTGCAAAAAAAGAAAAAAAATTATTTTTTCTTAACCATAAGTAAATTTTCATGCAAGAACTAGCACCAGGGAAGAAACAAAAATATTGCCAAATATACATTGTTAGGCAATACATCTTAACTAGATTCACATAAAAACAATAACCAGTTCAGTAAAATGAACTGGAAAAGTTTAAAAGATATAATGTCAGTAGAAAAGCTCATATATCCATTGTTTTAAACCAAAAATAAATAGCTGGCTGCCACACCTGTTGTTGCATGTCTCCTATTAATAGCATAAGAAAGTGTTTAAAAACTTATCTTAGTGACCGGTCATAAGCAAGAATTTGTAAATGATTTCTGGTAACATCAATACATAGGATGAGTACAGACTGCTAATACAAGACACACCACGTTGTACTCTAAATTAGTAGCTGTGTCAGGGTGATCCATAAGAGCCATGGCTATAGTTAAGTTATTCTGGCCTCTACACCACCAGAGCCAGTATTAGTGCTAGAAGATTTACCTTGATGACAGGTATCCAGCTGTTGCAAATCATTTAGTTTCACTACATTAACTAAATAGGTATTCTTTTCTCTTTCATTTTAAACATAACTATTAGAACTCATTTAATAGAAAATGCTCTGGGAGGAAAATAAAAAAACCTGTCAACCTAATCAAAACACAGAAGTTGAACGCATTCTTTAAAAACCATGTGGAGAAGAAACTGTTCAATCAAGGAATGACTAAAATAGGTAAAATTTGATTAGGCAATAGCAAGTAGTAAGGTATTAATATTGGTTGATTTGATCGTAAGTGGAAACACATGAGATGGGTCAGGGCGAGATGTTAGAAACAGAGAGAAGGAGGAGCAGCTCTGGGAGAAGATCCCTAAGATCAGCTAACAACTTTGTTTTTCGGATGCATATTATATGCTTTGCAGTATTTTAAGTGATATGCAAGTTATTTCCTCATTTACTTTTCACACGAACCTGTGAGGTAGATATTTATTTCACAAATGAAGAAATGGAAGCACAAACTAACTTGCACAAGCTAATGATGGTGGAAACAGCCAGTCTTGCTTTAGAAACTTGCTCTAGTAACTAGTATGCTATGGGAAAGTGCAGGAGCAAAGTGAAGAAGTAATCAACCAAAGCAAAGAAAAATAAGGGAAGTATATCAGAAAGGACCACTTTCTAGAATTATTCTTTTTTTTTCTTTTTTCATCAGCATTTAAACAAACTGCTTTTGAATGCTGAGCTTAACAGTTAGGTTCAAAGTGAAAAAAGAATCTCTTGTAACACAATACATCAGTCAGAAGCTTTAACAACACTTATAATTTTTATTTCACTTTAAGATGTATTTTCAATGTATTCCATTTCAGTTTTGTAACTGGTTTGGTGAAGTGATTAGTTCAAGATTCATGGGGTTTCATGATAGGACCCTACTGCATCTACCATTACAACTCTACTGAATTTACAGCTATGATTGTAGTTCTGAAGAGAAAGTTTCCTATTCTCACATGTTTGAGGTATTAACACTACACTGAAATCTAAAAAGTAAAAACAAAATCCAATCCCTCTGCCCCCAAACCCTATATTATTATAAACTATTTTTCCCAGCACTCTGAAAATGCTTCTCAATTAATCATTAGTTAAGCAACAACCTTAAAAAAAAAAAAAAGATAAAGCCTTAATTGGAGTTCCGGCCTAAGAAATCATTAGTTTACAAAGACAATTATTAGCACTCTGAAAATGCTTCTCAATTAATCATTAGTTAAGCAACAACCTTAAAAAAAAAAAAAGATAAAGCCTTAATTGGAGTTCAGGCCTAAGAAATCATTAGTTTACAAAGACAATTATCCTTTTTGTTAAACACTTAAAATACATGCATGAAGATAGGATTACTTACAGCTATTTTTAAGACAGACTTAGGTTTTCAGCACTTGAGAGTTCATCAACTACTTAAAGTATTAGTCAGCCCGAAACAAACAGATGTACTATGGGAGGAAATAAGTTTGTCTTTCCATCTAAGAGAGATTTAATTTTATTTCAAATAGGTTTTTAGTCATGGATTGTAATTGGTTTATTCTATTTAATGTGTCTTATTAACCTGGCATTCCCTCTAAATGTCTAAATTCCACTGAAATTCTATCCCTACTCAAATAGTACACAACACAACCTCTTTTTAAAAAAGGACCTTTTTAAAAATCCCTGAAAACAATGTCTTTCCCCTAATTTGTGCATAAATGGA